TGCCACATAGGGTGGCCTGTAACAAACCTCCTCCTCACCCATCAGAACCTGGGTTTCCTCCATCCACTCAGTTCCAATGGAGGGTTTTGCTTAAGGAGGACTCTTCTCCCAGTCTCTGTCAGGACATCAGCCTTGCTGCTGCAGCTCGCAGAGGACATGCTGCTGGAAACTATACAGATTCGAACCATCAAGGCAGGCAAGCAGCAGCAGGTGTTCCGGAAGCCCTGCTCCCGAGCTGAGTGTGACACCCGCAGAGACTGTCTGGCCAAACTGATCTATGCACGGTGAGCAGTTTACCCTGGGCCTTCCCTTCCCCATGGGTTCTTAGCCTGTCTGAGGTTGGACTAAACACTGTCAGGCAATAGATGGGAGACCCAAGATGGAGGGTACAGAATAAAGCAGACCAGTTGCTGGAACTCCAGGAGGTGGCAGGGCATAGCTCACAGGTTTGCCCTAAACCCTGCCTTTGGCCTCTGCACATGTTGAATGGAGAAGTTGCCACATTCCTGACCTAGTTCAGCTCATTGTTCAAGTACAGGAGCCTGCTTTGCTCTTGGCTATAGGTGAGGAAAGTCTTCAGCTCTCCATTGGCAAAGCAAACCCCAAAGGTGACCTCCGCATTTACAGTTGTAGGTTCAGACTGTTGAGTAGTGGCTAGGCTCCTCTGTCTCCTGTACCCTGGTTCATAAGGTCATCAGGGGAGTTGGAGAGAGAGCAGTGGAGCCAAAGCTCAACCCAGAGTCAGTACCAGCAAAAATGCAGCAGGCAGAAGCAGCATAGCAGGGAAGGTGGGTCCTGGCCTTTCTTGGGACATGATGTAGGCACCTCCATCCTCTGGACCATATGGTCGAGGATTATTTCATCTTGAGTTTTAAGAACCTTCAGAGTAATTTGTAGAGGCTGTCATGGGCTCAGAATCCCCTGATATTATCAATGACCACTGTGTACATGTGAGATCTTGGACAGCCCTGTTCAGAGCCAAGAATCTGAGATCTGCCAGAGCCTGTGGCAACTAGAGACAGAGGTACAACTGCCTCAAAGCAGGTTTTAGGTGGAAAGTTGGGAGATTTTTGCTTTGGGGAGTATTTTGAGATAGGGTCTCACTATGTAGCTCTGGCTTGCCTGGAACTAACTATCAATGCTTTGATTAAAGGTGTGTGCTACAATACCCAGCAATCAAAAAATTTCTAATCTTTTGTCCACAAATTACTGCAAAGTGAAGGGTTGCAGATAGAATGAGCGTCTAGCAGTAGAGCTTTTACACATGGAAACAGCCATGCTATACTAGTTCATTCTAATGTCTTGCATGACTGTTTGAACCTGTTGCCCCACCCCCCAAAAAGGTCTATTGAATTAAACAGGTTGCAGAGTAATTACTTAAGGAGAAAGTGAAGTGTGATGGCCACTTGTGACTCCAGCACTTTTTAGGCTGAAGCAGGGTTGCTGGTTCCATTCCAGAGTCTTTGCGTAGGCCCTGTTTCCAGAACTGAGGTAGGAGAAGGCAATATGTAGGAAGTCCCTGAACAGTGTCATGCTTGGTGAAACCTTGTATAGAGTTTCGTTTTCTATGGGCTAGTGACAGTTCCAGAGCAGAGAATGCCATTCATTGTTCTTGTGACTTGGGAACACTTGTTTAGGATTGAGTAGGATGTGGTACTTCCTTAAGGTTTTTTCAGGGGAATTCAGTGCACTCAGCTACTTACTAACCCAACTAGGACCTACCAGTAGCCTCCTGTAGTCATAGCATCTAGTAATGGGCTATGTCTAATGCAGACACAGGAGCCTGTGCTATCCTGTGTTGTCTTGCTATGAGGACAGGTCAGGTCTGTGTATACCTGGAAATGTATATGCCCAGAGCCTGCCTCTGCAGTAAGTCAAGATTGCCAGAACAAGAAGATTTAGCCTTTGGCCTGGTAGGTGCAGAACACAGAGTCTTCTAGTAGGTAGCATCCTTCCTGGGAGAGCAAGCTTTACCACACCCCACTCTTTCCCATCAACAGGCTTTTCGACTGGCTGGTATCAGTGATCAACAGCAGCATCTGTGCAGACTCCAGCTCGTGGACTGCCTTCATAGGTAGCAAGGTTCACCCTGCCAGGAGCCCTCCAGAAAATAAGCAGCTGGACCTTGGGTGGAGGGAGGGTTCCTGGGTCACCTGTGTGCTTCTGAGAAGCTCCTTTTCCCTCTCTGCTAGTGTTTTCGCCCATCCATCCAAGAGTTTGGTGATATTTCTACATTTAATTGTTCTCCAGACAGACCAGTTTATGCCTTGTCCCTAATGGTCCTTTTTCTCCTAGAGACTTAGCTCCAATCCCAGAAGGGTAGTCAGAGCTAGATGGGGAGACACAGTTGAGATCAGCATTGTTGTTGTGAGTTCAGTAGGGGAAGGAAGTAAAGCTAGGGGTGCAGACTTAGTTTGCTTAAAGAGAGGTCAAGGTCCTCTGAATTTGGTTGTTTCAAAGGACATTTCCTGGTATCACACAAAAAATGGGACCTGAGCCGGACGTTGGTGGCGCACGCCTTTAATCCCAGCACTCGGGAGGCAGAGGCAGGCGGATCTCTGTGAGTTCGAGGCCAGCCTGGTCTACAGAGCGAGTTCCAGGACAGTCTCCAAAGCCACAGAGAAACCCTGTCTCGAAAAACCAAAAAAAATGGGACCTGATATCTAGGAGCCCACTGTGGCCAAAGGACTCATACTCAAAATTGTGCTGATGCCTGGGCTGCCCTTCATTCAGATTTTTTGACTTTCTGTCTGCTCTTACATGGTATGGGGAAGAGGAAGAGGCCCTGGATACTACCCTAGGTGGATGGTAGGAGCAGGAGACAGCGATCACTCAACCTTATCCAAGGGTTTCTAAGAATGAGGCCTCAGCAAGGGTCCAGCCACTTGGGCTCCTGTAGCTGTCATCTCTACCCCGCTGTGGTAGCTCCATGGTTCTCTCCTGTCTTCAAAGGTCTGCTAGATGTGTATGGCTTTGAGTCATTCCCTGACAACAGTCTGGAACAGCTGTGCATCAACTATGCCAATGAGAAGCTACAGCAGCACTTTGTGGCTCACTACCTCAAGGCCCAGCAGGTGAGGTGTGGGACAAGGCAGGTCATCCTTCTGGATCCTCTGCCTCTTGCTGGCCCCCAGCCCAGTCATGACTAGGCACCTTTGTTCCTTGTCCTATTGATAAGTAATACCTATGTAAGAAAGTGTTTTAATATAGTTCTGTTCCTTCCCTAATGCTATTCTGGAACTTGCTTTCTCCTACTGCTCCCCTGCTCCTAGGAGGAATATGCAGTTGAGGGCCTGGAGTGGTCCTTTGTCAATTACCAAGACAACCAGACCTGTTTAGATCTCCTGGAGGGGAGCCCCATCAGCATCTGTTCCCTCATAAATGAGGTATGGAGGGTCAGCCAGTGAGCCAAGCAGCAGAGTTGGTCTCTGGGCTTTTCTGGTGCCTTGGGACTGTTTTGTGTGCTCTTTTGTCCATGTCTCTCCTCCATCTGCAAATAATATATTAATTCCTGTCCCCTCCACCCCCGCCCAGAGTTGCTATAATTCCTGTGTTACAACTCTGCTCCCATGGGGACCAGACACTGAGGATGGTGAAGATGAGGTAAGACCTCATCACTGTGATGACTGCTCGTTCCCACCCCACAGGAATGCCGCCTTAATCGGCCAAGCAGTGCAGTACAACTACAGACGCGCATCGAGAGTGCTCTGGGAGGCAAGCCCTGCCTCGGTCATAATAAGCTCAGCCGGGAGCCCAGCTTTGTGGTTGTGCATTTCGCAGGACCTGTACGGTACCACACAGAAGGCCTGGTGGAAAAGAACAAGGTGGGCCTGGGACATAGCTTATAGGTCCTGGGTAAGAAAGCTGAATCACTGCTGCATGCACAGAGTAGGTCCTAGCTAGCACCGTCTTCCTCAAAATGCAGGCTATCCATGTTTGCTAATCCATTCTGACCTGTCTGCCTGGAAGTGGCCTCTGTCTCTTGGCTGGTGGACCCACTCTACTTGGGACTCCAGCCCTGCCCTCCCGAGAAGCCCCGTGCTTGGGTACGGGTACCAGAGCAGTGGCCAGCACTAAGCAGCAGCTCACCTGCCTGCCACCCTTGCCCTTTCCCAATAGGACCCTGTTCCCCCTGAGCTGACTGGGCTCCTGCAGCAATCCCAAGACCCCCTGCTCATGATGCTATTTCCTGCTAACCCTGAAGAGAAGACCCAGGAGGAGCTGTCTGCCCAGAGCAGGGCTCCTGCATTGACTGTGGTATCCAAGTTCAAGGTGGGTCTGATGGTGCTGCCCTGAATTGCTCAGTTCACTCTCGTAATTGTCTCCTGAGCACCCCTCAGGATTGGGGCTATTTACTAGGGAGCAGTAATGTGGTTCTGATCCCTTCGAATTTATGCTTCAGTGTAAGAGACCCATACGAAACAGACAAGACACCACGGGATATGACAGGGATTGAGGCTCTCACCCTCTGCTCCTGGGGTAGTCAGAGAAGAGTAGCACTTTATATGGAGCTGTGACTACCCTTTCAAACTCTGTGCTGGGCTGGACCAGACTACCACTTCCCTTGGTACTGTCTGCTTCCCTCTGCTGTGTGAAACTTGCACGAGCTGCTCACCTTCCTGGGATCTCTTGACCACTGCCCTCCAACTTGTTCACCCACCCTGCCAATCTCTATCTGTTCCTGTTCTTATGCTAACCCTAGTTTACCATCACCTTGACGGTACCCTGGGAAAGCCAGGTCTACTGTCTGAGGAGCATGCTATAGCCACAGCACCAAACACTACTGACAAGACCTGCACAGCATGTGCGTCATTAGGCTAAGCTGTGAGTGACATCCCTCTGGCACACTGTAGAAAGCAGGGGTGGTGTGAAGCTGTTCTCCTGTAGGAAAGAAGTGGGGAAGAGAAGAAAGGAACAAGCCCCAGACCAGGGGATCAGTCAGTGAGAGCCACTGGTCAGAACGTCCCTGGATAAAGGTGATGAGTAATGGGTGGTTAAACTGTGTTTTAACAGGTTCTTTAAGAACTTCCAGGATAGGTGTGGTGGCGCATGCCTTCAATCCCAGAACTTGGAGGCAGAGGCAGGCGGATCGCTCTGAGTTTGAGGCCAGCCTGGTCACAATGCAAGTCGTAGGACAGCCAGGACTGTTACACAGAGAAACCCTGTCTGGGGGAGTGGGGTCCCAGTAGTTCCCAGGGCATATGTGGGTCCTGATGTCAAGGCTGGAAGGGTCACCAAGGACATAATGTACTCACATTTATGACCCTGAGCTGCCCCAATCCTGCCTTACCCCGGATTTTTCTGTCTGTAGGCCTCACTGGAGCAGCTCCTACAGGTCCTTCATAGCACAACACCCCACTACATTCGCTGTATCAAGCCTAACAGCCAGAGTAAGCCACAGACCTTCCTCCAGAAAGAGGTAATTAATCCTGACTGACAGCTGCCTAGTATCAAACCCCATCCGGCCAGGCCTAGAAAACTAAAGGGAGAGCCATCTCCAGATGGAGTGATCACAGGCAGTCTCTCAGGCTGGACATCAAGGAGGGCTTATTGTCCCAGAACATCTTGCTCCCTGCTCACCTAGCTTAACTCTAACAATAGATTGAATCTGCTCAGGGCAATGGCTGTTCTGTGATTTGTTCAACATCTGTGCAGTCCATGCAGTGCGGCTATTCTGGACTCATTTCCTAATTTACATAGAATCATTCCTCAGGGTTTCAGGTTCTGAGGGGGTATAGATGTATGAGTGCTGGACAGCACTGAGGAATATCCAACAGTCACCTGGTAAGTGTGGTTGTGTAGCCAAGTAAAAATCTTCACAGTATAACCTTCCTTGCTTGAGCAACTCTGATGCCGGAAGAGAATAAACTCTTCTGTATTGTGAAGTGGTGTCAGCCCTGGAGAGGTGACAGACAGCCAGGACCATTGCAGACCTTAGCCATGTCAGGAGCCAGGTACCAGACAGGGCATTTGTGGGTCTACCAGAACCTCCTGTAGCAGGGAGATCTTCAGGCCTTTAGTTTCTCATGGCCCCACAAAGACATCTCCATCAGCCAATCCTGCCTGTCACTGAAGGTCAGGACCAAAGATGTGCAAAAGAAATGGCATTTTTGGCCTACAGGTGCTTGCTCTGTCTCCCCACCCTTGTAGGTCCTGAGCCAGTTGGAGGCCTGTGGCCTTGTGGAGACCATCCACATCAGTGCTGCTGGCTTTCCCATCCGGTAAGTAAGCCACATTGCTGTAGGACCAAAGCCTGGTGGCATTCAGAACATGAGCCAGACAGAGGGAGGTAGGGATGAGGAGAATGGCAGGTCTGAGGCAGTCCACCTAGAAGGCAAATGGATGGCACCTGTGCATCTGTTCAGTCACTCATTGTGGAATCTGTGCCCTTTTAGGCCTACATTCCTGTGGAAACAAGAAAACTAAGTATGAGCCAGACACGATAGCACACATCTATGATCCCAGCACTTGAGATGCTGAGACAGGAGGATCAACACAAGTGTAAGGCGAGCCTGGGCTATGTAGTGAGTTTGAGGCCAGCCTGGGCTAGAGTGAGACACTGTTTCAAAAATCAACAAAGGGCTGGGTGCTAGAGAAACGGATGACTCTGAGGTTAAGGGTACAGACCCTCTTCCACCATCTACAACTGCCTGTAAATCCAGCTCCAAGAAGACCCAACCCCTCTGCCTTCATCAATGCCTGCACTTACAGGCATATATCCACATACCCTCACCCACCCACCCCACACACAGACACAAGTAAATATAAAAGAAATCTTTTTCCCCTTCCTTTAGGGTCTGGGGCTGGAGAGATGGTTCAGGGTTAAAAGCACTGGCTGCTCTTCAGAAGACTGGCGTTCAATTCCTAGCTCCCACATGGCAGTCACAGCCATCTATAACTCCAGTTCCAGGGGATCTGAAGCCCTCCCCTGGCCTCCACGGGCACCAGGCATACACGTGGTGCACAGACATACATGCAGGCAAAACACCCAGACACATAAAATTTCTTAAAATTTACAAATAAAGCTAGGTGTTGTAGGACACGCCTTTAATCCCAGCACTGGGGAGGCAGAGGCAGGCAGATCTCAGTAAAAAGAGAACGGGGTGGTTTACAGGGTTAGGGGAGGAGCAGTCAGCTTCCAGGCTGTTGAAATAACTGCTGTATTCTGGGGCAGATGATTGAATCAGGACAGTTTACCAAAATGAGCTAGTCTGGGGGAGGCCAGAGTTGGAGTGTGAAGGAAAAAGGAAGTGAGCGTCAGGAATTCTCCTGTGACTTTGTCAGATTTAAGAGGTTTCAGAGACAGGCCTCAGAGTTTTAAGAACTGCACAGGTACATGCTGTCCATCCTCCGTGAGCACCCCACTCCCAGCAAGAGATGTACCACACCACATGAGGCCAGAGGACGACTAGCCAGGCAAGTCAGTTCTCCCCTTCCAGCATATGGGTCCTGAGGGCTGTCAGACTTTGCAACAGGCACTTTTATCTGCTGAGTCATCTTGCCAGCCATAGGCTCAATTTTAAATGGTGTCTGCAGACTGAGTGACCTGGGCATCTCTAGAACACACCTCCTCCATTCAGTAGGGATAGTCAGGCAACCCTGGCTTTGAGCCCCAGGCAGGCACCTGGTACACACTTTTGACAGGGTTTCTCTGTGTAGCTTTGGAGCCTGTCCTGAAACTTGATCTGTAGACCAGGCTGGTCTCGAATTCAGAGATCCTCCTGCCTCTGCCTCCCTAGTACTGGGAATAAAGGCTTGTGCCACCACCACCCGGCTCACAGTCATTTTTGCCTGCTTTGGCTTCCAGGGTTTCTCACCAGAACTTCGTGGAACGATATAAACTGCTGAGAAGGCTCCGACCTCGCACGTCCTCTGGCCTCCAGGGCCTGTGTCCTGCCAGAGGGCCCTCTGGTAAGTGGGGCCCATTTTTTGTTGTTTGTTCAACCATAGGTTACTGAGGACTTAGCTGTACCTCCTCAGACATGAGGATCCAGAGACTAACGGTTGTTGGTACAATGTGGGGAACAAACTCCAGCTGACAATGGTGTAGAAAGGCAGAGAATTAACTCTGACGCCAGGGAAAAGTGGACATGAGAAAGCATTTTGGAGCAGGTGGTATGTGGGGATAAACTGGATTAGCCAGCTAACAACCAGTATATAGGACAAAGTTATCTGAACAAAAGCTTCCAGGCATGAGACGGAACAGTAGATGTGACCAGCTGAGAGGTGGTGGCGCACGCCTTTAATCCCAGCACTCGGGAGGCAGAGGCAGGCGGATTTCTGGGAGTTCAAGACCAGCCTGGTCTACAAGAGCTAGTTCCAGGACAGCCTCCAAAGCCTCAGAGAAACCCTGTCTCGAAAAACCAAAGACCAAAGATCAAGAAACAGGGACTTTGGGCTGGAGAGTTGGCTCAGAGGTTAAGAGCACTGCCTGCTCTTCCAGAGGTCCTGAGTTCAATTCCTAGCAACCATATGATGGTTCACAACCATCTATCATGAGATCTGGTGCCCCCTTCTTGCCTGCAGGCATACATGTGGGCAGAGCACTGTATACATTATAAACAAATAAATCTTAAAAAAAAAAAAGAAGCAGGAACTTATTTCCTGGGTAGATGAGGTGTCCCCTTCAGGGAAGAAAGCCAGTGCTCTATTCACCTCATGCTCTCATCCACTCTAGGGTCTTGGGGGTAGGCTGTGGAGAACCCACAGAGAAGCTAGAGCTGTGGGCAGCTAACAAGTGGGCAAAACTGATCAGTGTCGGTAGACATGGCTCCATACAGATACAGAGGTAGACAAACCCAGAGGGTGAACTCTGCCTGTCAGCAGGCAGAAGGGCAATCTGAGGAATCTGGACCACCCCTGCATGGCCAGCTTGAGCCCCAGCAGCTATGATTGAGAGGTTGTTGGCACAGTGTAGCTGTCTATACCAAGTGGAGGGACAGACACAAGGACTAGGACAAATCTCAGCCCAACCACAGCTGCTCTCCAACCACCCAGCCCTCTTCTGGGCCCCCAGTGAGCAAGCTCTTTCTCCTGGGAGTTGTGTCACTCTCCTTTCCCTCTCCCTTTCTTTCTCCTCTCTCCATGGCTTGCTTTCCTGTCTTACCAAAAAGCCCCTCTGGGCCCTGGTCCATTTTGTGGATGTCTCTCATCTCTCGTCTCCTGCATCTGCTTTGATGACCTCTGTCTCCAGAGAGGCGCTGGGCTGCTAACTGTGGTCAGAGCCCTCAGGTAAATCCTCCCACACAGGAGGAGCTTGGGAGGGTTTTCCCATAGCCGGTATGTTCTTCCTTTTCCATAAGGGTAAAGAGTAAGAGGTGGAGCTGAGGGAGTGGCCAAGCAGCCTGGGATTCCTTCCAGGCTTCCAGTCCTTGCCTGCCTGTCCAAGGAGACACGCGGCAGTAGAGGCTTCAGAACACTCCCAACAGTCAGGATTGTGAAGAACTTAAGGGCTTCCTCTACCCGCAAAAGGGGGGAAGAAATGACTAGATTCAGAACAGCAGCAAGAAAGAGGCTTAGTGAGCTCTCTTCAGGCTACAGAAGCATGTGGGAACAAGCAGGGGCTGACAAGACTTTCTCCCACCCCCAGAGCAGCTTCTGTGTGCCAAGGAGGCCACATTGCAACCCCCGCTACAGGACATTCTCCATGCTGTGCCAGCTCTAATTCAGACAGCGACCACTACCAGTGACCCAGCTGAGACCGCACAAGTCCCACTGTACTGTGGCAGGACAAAGATTTTCATGACTGACTCCATGGTAAACTGGCTGAGGGTTAGATTATATATAGGGCTAGCTGTAAATGTAGGCCATCCTACATTTGTAAGGGGAGGAAAGGCCAAGGACCTCAATGGATTCCTCTTCTCTCAGCTAGAGCTTCTAGAATGTGGGCGTGCCCAGGTGCTGGAGCAATGTGCCCGCTGCATCCAGTGTGGCTGGAGACAACACCGGCTCCAAAAGCAGGAGAAACAGAGGCAGGCTGCGGTGCTCATTCAAGCAGGTAGGTGGAACCCAGCCACCTATTAGTGAGGCTGATTCCTTATGATGGCTATGACTAACACAGTCCTGACAGACTTATGAAAATAATTTGTCTTTTTGCAGTGCCATGAATTAGACTCAGGGTTAGGCAAGTGCTATACCATGGAGCTACATGACCACATAAGTGGAAAAAAATTTTTAAAGGCACAGATAACCTAGATCCCTCTTTGTTCCTTGGGCACTACTGAAGACAGATCTGTGGTAGCCTGGGTACGTGACAGTTAGCACTCCCAGGTAGCCCTTCAATGGGGCAGTATTATATAACATTTATTGTGTGTGTAAGACTATGTATGTGTACCATATGTGTGCAGGTACCTTTAAGAACAAGCCATTAAAAGCACTGGAGAGATAGCTCAGAGAGTAAGAACACTAGTCCCTCTTTCAGAGGTCCTGAATTCAACTCCCAGCAACCACATGGTGGCTCATAACCATATGTAATGAGATTTGCTACCTGCTTCTGGTGTGCAGGGGTATATGCAGGCAGAACACTGTATCTATAATAAATAAATCTTTTTTTTAAGATTTTATTTATTTATTATGAATACAACATCCTGCCTCCTTGTACATCTACACATCAGAAGAGGACACCAGATATCTTTTTTTTCTTTGTTTGTTTTTACAAGACAGGGTTTCTCTGTATTGTTTTGGAGGCTGTCAGTCCAGCCTGGCCTCGAACTCACAGAGATCCGGGCACCAGATATCTTTATGGATGGTTGTGAGCCACCATGTGGTTGCTGGGAATTGAACTCAGGACCTCTGGAAGAGAAAGCAGTCAGTGCTCTTAACCTCTGAGCCATCTCCACAGCCCAAATAGATAAATCTTAAAAACCGCCATGTGGGTGCAGGGAACCAAATCTGGGTGCCTGCAGTGAGTGCTCTTAACCAGTGATTTCTTTTTGTTGTTTTTTGTTTTTCAAGACAGGGTTTCTCTGTGTCGCCCTAGCTGTCCTGGAACTAGCTCTGTAGACCAGGCTGGCCTCTAACTCAGAGTGCTAGAGTTAGAAGCATGCAACACCATTTGCCTGGCCCAGGAGTGACTTTTAAGCCCCATTTTGCCTTATATAATGACATAGTGTATCACTGAAAAAACAGATTTCACACTTTCACATCAACCCTGGTACTGGCCACAGACTAACATCTCTAATAATGGTTTTGATGTCTTCTGCTGTTTCTTTAGCTGTTCGGTCCTGGTTAACTCGGAAGCACATCAGAAGGTTGCACAAAGCTGCCACAGTCATCAAGCATGCCTGGCATAAGTGGAGAGTGAGTATGACTGGAGACCAGGGTGGACAGTACTTCAGACAGGCCTGAGAGGGAAATGTCTCTGCCACTGAGATGTGGGCGTGCTAGCAGGCATGCAGCCTCTCAGCCTTGTATCACTTGTATGGTGAGATGGGTACAAACAGCTGCAGTACAGGGTGGCTGTGAAAGCAGAGTGGCAGGACTGGAGAGATGACTCAGCGGTTAAGGATTCTGACTGCTCTTCCAGAGGATCCAGGTTCAATTCCCAGCACCCACATGGCAGCTCACAACTGTCTGTAACTCCCAAGGTCTGATATCCTCACACAGGTATACATATAGGCAAAACATTGATGCACATAAAATAATAAATTATTTAAAAAAGAAAAAGTAGAGCGGCATAAGCAATGCTAGGAACAAACTGCCAGTAGAATTACAGTTTCTTTACATTCTGCCATATAGAGCCAATCTAGTTCAGGGCATCACAGCCGAGGGCCTTCAGTTTACCTTGTCAAGATGATTATTTTCCAATAAGAGTACTGGAAACATCCAGGCGGTGGTGGTGCACGCCTTTAATCCCAGCACTCGGGAGGCAGAGGCAGGCGGATCTCTGTGAGTTCGAGGCCAGCCTGGTCTACAGAGCGAGTTCCAGGACAGCCTCCAAAGCTATACAGAGAAACCCTGTCTCGAAAAACCAAAAAAAAAAAAAGAAAGAAAGAAAGAAAGAAAGAAAAATAAGAGTGCTGGGAAGAGCTAGTAAGATGGCTCAGCATGTAAAGGTGCTTGCTGCTACTCTTGATGAGTTTGAGTCCAGAGACTCTTGTGGTAGGAACAAACTCTGCCTCCCTATCACTGGGATTAAAAATGTACACCACCACTGCCTAGCTGTTTAATTTTTTAAAGAGGACTAAATCTTGACCACCTAATAGCAATCCCTAGGATGCACAAGTTGTTCTCTGATTTTAGTGTGTTCACTATACATACCTCCACGTCGAGTAAATGAATGCAAAAGTAAACTCTTTTTGGAAGAAGGCTGGTCAAACCTAAAGCTATGAAGCAATGTTTTCTCTCTTTAAGATCAGAATGGCCTGTCTTGCCTCTAAAGAACTGGATGCTATGGAGGAGAAACCTATGCCTCAAGCTCCCAGTTCCCTGAGCTCTTCGCTGCCCCCAGGACACACTAAACTACTGGGGGCAATAATCCACCTCTGGCCCCTGGGACTGGTGCTAGCCAACTCAGCTGGGGGTATGCGGGGCTTTCAGAGGAAACTGGTGGCCCATGCCTGCCTCCGGCTTCCCACGGGCAGCCCCAGAAACAACATCCAGACACCACAACAAGATCAGGCTGGAATTACATCCATCAGAGCACTGCCTCAGGTATGTTCTCGTTCTGTGAGACCATGGTAGAAAGTAGTCCTTCCCACAGCTCCAGTTGTTCACTGAGAAAGGCAGTGAACAAAGCTTGCCCATCTATGTGGGTGAGGGATAGCACAAAACTCCCTAACCTAAATAAGCCTAAATAAGCCAAAATCTATAGATGTGGATTACTGCCATTGTTTCGACAACAAAACAGGACTCTTCAGAGCCGTTCAAAAATTGCTTCTAAGCATTTTGCCTGTGAGTGTTTGCCTCTTCCTCTGCAATGTTGAGAACCTCAGTTAGGCATGTATCTCAGACCTGTGTCCTCTACCAGGGTAACTAACTATAAGGAATTAAATAGTATAGTTAACTCTAGAACATTAGTCCCACTTCTAAGAAATGAGTAGTCATAATTTGTCACCTCAAATGACACTGCATTTGGCAGTTTCTTCAAATTTTATCACTTGGTTACTGACTGTCACTTGCTCAACTAGAAATAGTAACTGTATGGCCTGTTTCTATGTGTCCTGCCACCTGCTTCACTTCAAAGTGAACCCTCACAGCCTGGTCTCAGCTCAGCCCCTTCCCTGGATAACCTTGGTGATGGCACATCATCTTGGAACCTCCATTTTTCCTCCTCTGTAAGACTAGTTTAATACCCAGCCTGGCACAAGGGACTAGGAAAGAAATTAAGTCAATAAGATGTTACATAATCTGTACAAAATCTCCCTGAAATTGACGAGGGATAAACAAAGTGTTCTGGTCTACCAGCTGTAAGTAGATATGGGGTGACAGATAGCACAGAGTGAGACCCCTTCCCAGTATTTCCTGACATACTCAATGGATGTGAGATTTTATTCCTGAACTTCTGAGATGTCTTTGGTCCCTGCCACTAATTGTATGCACCCGTTTCCCTAGGGCTCGATAAAGTTTCACTGCAGGAAGTCTCCACTTCGATATGCTGACATCTGCCCTGAACCTTCAGCCTCTAATGTTACTGGTTTTAATCAGATTTTGCTAGAAAGAAACAGGCCAGTCCAAGTGTGACTCTTCTACCCCACCTGCCTACGTGATCTTTAGTGCCTTTGTTTCCACAAGGCCATTTCCTGCCAGCTGCCTTGCCAAAGACATCTGATCAACACACAACTGCCAAGCTATTCCCACAGCGACTGACTGCACTCGCAAGCAACAGTTCCTGTCTGTGAGCCAGGGCTTGGCAGTCAGAGGACCAGCCAGCCAGGACTATGGCTTCAGCACTAGCAGGATCTGGGGGAGTGAGTTAAAAAACCAGGATTAGGGCCACAACGTCCCAGCTTACTGTATTCAGGCTCAGCAGATGTGACTGTCCATCCAGAATGTTGTCACAACAGCAAGATGGACACTAAAAGATAGATACTAAGTCATCCATCCACAAGCACTTTAAAGGGGCCAAATCACCCTCAATTGGCTCTAGAATTTTGGCTGGGGAAGAACTTACACATAGTTCATTAAGGCACAATACTATTTAATAAACTGATTTATTTAATGTCACCAAGAACAATATCTAAAATTTATTAACACTAATCAGTTTTTAATTCAAATGGATAAACCTGGTATTTATTATGTAATTCTGAACTGTACCAGAAGTAAATTTAGAACCACCATGTAAATATAAATAGCCTTTTCCTTTTTTTTTTCTTTCTTTCTTTTTTTTTAATGTATGTGAGTTTTGCTTATGGCTGTGGATCACATGCTTACAGTACCTTCAGAGGTCAGAAGAGGGTGTCAGATCCCCTGGAACTTTAATTACATGTGTTGGCAGTCATGAGTGCTGAAGATTGGTCCTCTCTCTGGAAGAGCTGAGCCATCACTCCAGGGTTCCACTCTTCATAGAGGCTCTTCACCTTGAGTGTTCTCCACCTGTCTGAAGCAAGCCGAGTGATGGAAAAGACCTACATGTTCTGTAGCAGCCTTGGAAGCAACCTCCTCCTTGGAGGAGCAGTGGGCAGCTTAAGCAAAGAGCACATCCAAATTTTAAGAATCCCTGTTCCGGGATGGTTCCACGATTCTTAAACAGCAGTCTGCAAACTCCACAAACAGAGGCTCCTGCATGCAGGCTTTCATCAGCTTTGCTTTGTTGTCACCCTGATCCAGGTTAGCCATCAGTTGTCTCAGGTGTGGGTTGAGGAGTAAACTTCTTAAAGTTGCAGATTCACCTTAAAAACCAATGCCAGCTTTCAGTGCAAGGGGAACCCAATGGCTGAAAGCTAAATTTCCAGTGTAATAATCAACTTTGAAAGGCTTCTATCTTCTTAACCATTATGCTGTCGCCCCCATGTCCTAAAGTCATATAACCAACCACACATCTAAACCATTCAACAAACGCCTTTAATCCCAGCACTTAGGACATGGAGGAAGATCTCTGTGAGTTCCAAAACAGCCAGGGCTACACAGAAACCTTGTCTTGAAACACAAAAACAAACAAACCAAAACTTTTTTTTTTTTTGGTTTTTTCAAGACAGGCTTTCTCTGTATTGTTTTGGAGGCTGTCCTGGAACTCGCTCGGTAGACCAGGCTGGCCTCGAACTCACAGAGATCCGCCTGCCTCTGCCTCCCGAGTGCTGGGATTAAAAGCGCGCGCCACCAACGCCCGGCACCAAAACTTTTAATATCTGTACCAAATGTGAATTTCTTTCCTTATCATAACTACACAATTTAAGTGTTTGCATCAAATTATGTTAGATGATTTAAAGTGTATCAGTTATATGTATTACACCATTTTATAAAAGGGGACTTGACCATCTTTGAGACACAGGTCCTGGAACCAAGCTGCCTTGAACATCAGAGAGATGACTATACTCACAAATTATCTTTCAATATATATATGAACAAACAAGATCTGAGCTGGAAAGATGAACCAGCAGTTAAGTGAGCTGGCTGTGCAAACCATGAGGCCCAGTGCTCTATCTCAGCACCCACGTAATGGCCAAGCATGGTCCTATGCATACCCGTAACCCCAACACTAAAGCACAGCAGAGACAGGTAGATCACTGAGCCTAGCCAAGGTGAGCTCCAGGTTCAATGAGAGACTCCTCCTTAAAGGAATAGGGAGAGAAGGATGGGGACTCTCAATGCCTCCTCTAGCCTTGTGTGCACATACACACATGAGATTAGCACCAATAACAGAATTTTTACAAGCACCAAAGAAGCAATGCTCCAAAAATGTGCATGACTGAGCTGGAGACATAGCTCAGTCCTCAGCACCCAAGGAAGGTGGCCTACAACCACCTTACTCCAGCTCCAGGAGGATCTGACTCCTCTGGCTTCTATGGCACCTGAACTCATGTGCCCATACCTACAGACACATGCACATAATTAAAATATGGTGAACACCACCCTCTCCCTGCTGATTGCCCAGTCTATTTATGACTAAACTGCAAACAGCACATAACACAAGTCTGCCCCCCAGGCTGCTGTAAAATGCAAATCACTACGTCAAATGTGACTATAGTAATAAATTACTAGTAAGTGTGGGGACACCAGACCTTGAGCAGAAACCCACTTCCCCTTCGGCCTGGGAGCAGGCATCTGTGTAATGTTTACTGAAAACAATTCAGTGCTAAAGCTCTTGATAGGGTTCAGATAAGGGCTTGCTCACTGAAATACCATGCCTTTCACACCCCCTACGGCTAGATGCCTCTTCCTGTCCCCCCAGTGGTGTCTCCCCGATTCTGGGGCCCTGGGGCCGGAGATTAAACCACCAGCCAGGAGGGTGAGAAGTGGAAAGAATGGTATGTAGATGAATGGCAGAAGTCCTTAAAAAAGGGAAGCTCCTTTTTCTTAGAGAGACTTCTCCTGAGACTTCTCTCTCCTAAGTGGACTTGGAATCTCCTCCTAAGCTGACTTGGGAAGCATAAAGTTTTCTTAAAGCAACCGACCGGTCTCTGTGTCATCTATCCCGACCACCTCGCTACATTCTCGGATGCAGGCCGCACAGCAGGTGCGACAAGTAAGTCCAAGCCATTAAGGGAAGCTAGAAAAGTGCCTAATCTGAGCCTGAAGGTTGAGAAAAGCTTAGGTAAGCAAAGAAAATAAACTATATGTTTAAGCAAAATTATGCCAACCTGTACACACCATAGTACAAGAGAGGCAGAGGCAGACAGATCTGAGTTTGAGGCCAGCTTGATCTACATGCAAAGTCCAAGCCAGCCAGAACTACATAAGACCATCTCAAATAAATCCCATCTTATGCATCTCATGTACACATGGAGGTCAGAGGTCCACACTGAGTGTCTTCCCCAATTGAAATTGTTCTCCACTCCCCACTCCCACCCCCACCCCCCCAGACAGGGTCTCTCACTATGTAGCCGTGCTGGGAGTGCTGGGATTAAAGGTTCACACCATCACACTCAGGTCCCACTTCATTATTTTTTTCAGACAGGATTCCTTATCAATTCAGGTAGATCAGCTGGCCTTTATAGCAGTAAACAAAATTGATTAATGAAAAACAAGCCCAGCAAAGACTTACCTAAATTCTTTAAATTCTGCAGAGACACTCTGTCCTCTTCCTCATCACTGTTGAGGAAGTCCGCTATAGAGTCATCATCATCTGAGGAGTGCAGAACACAACCAGCTGGTCAGGTCTCAGAAAGCCACGACACCCGTGTTGACAGCATATGCATGTGTGTGTGACAGTGAGGGCACACCAGTAGTCACAGCCACATAAATGAACAGCTTGCTTCTCTGATTTCATCCCCTCTTACACAAAGGGAAGGCAACAGAATGGTGACTGCTTAGCAAATGCGTGGCTCATACTTCCTGTGATCTGCAGGCAAGTCTGGTCTTTTAGGTGGGCGTTGTTTTTTTTGAGACAGGAATCCTCTGTGGCTTTGGAGGATGTCCTGGAACTCACTCTGTAGACCAGGTTGGCCTCGAACTCACAGAGATCCTCCTGCCTCTGCCTCCCACATGCTGGAATTAAAGGTGTGAGCCACCACCGCCCGCTTTTCTGTGAATCTTAAGGATCTCTTTGTTGGTACAAGAGTTGCTTGTGCCAGGCATTGGTGGCGCACACCTTTAATCCCAGCACTTGAGAGGCAGAGGCAGGCAGATCTCTGAGTTCAAGGCCAGCCTGGTCTACAAGAGCTAGTGCCAGGACAGCCTCCAAAGCCACAGAGAAACCCTGTCTTTGTCAAAAAAAAACAAAACTTAAAAAAAAAAAAAAGAGCTGCTTGCAGAGTCATGACACTCAGGAGGCTTTATGGATAGATGAATATGTGGATGCATGAAACATGAGTGGAATGACAGTCCTTTACCACTCTAAAACTCTAACAGTTAAAAGGAAGCCTCCCACCAGAGCTGCTGCTCCAAGTCCAACCTTCTGCGTCCTGCCCAACCATCTCCTCAACCATCTCCTCTCCTTGCCACTATCTTTGAAATCCTTTGCAGGTTGCTTGTTTAATGTTAACCAACTCACCTTTGTTTTCCTCAGACTTTATATTCACTGGAGCTACTATTCTTCTGTTCTCAGCAGGACGAGTTTCCGGGTTGCACTGCTCTGAGAGAGACAAATTTCAGGCATACACAAACACAACCTCTCCATGACAGCAGCAAGGCTGCAGCTCCCCATGAGGCCAGGGAGAAGCCATGTACTGGGTAGAGACGACAGAAGGACAGGTCAAATGGAGCAACGGGCCAGAGGAAACATGAGTAATTCTGACTCTGACTCAGAGGAAAATGGCTGAGCTCAGGGGGCATGTGCCCCCACCCCAATGTCACAGATTTTCACCAGGATTAATGGCCTTGACGTCTACAAGCATCAGAGTTTTCTCTGCAGTTTCAGACACCCCACGTATGTACCATGTGCAACTAGAAACACAGATGTGGGAGTTTAGTCACAGGAGACACTACAGAGAGGGACAAGGTAAGAAGGGTCTGGCCTGAGTCTACCCGAGAGTCCAGAGACTTAGAGGAGAAAGCTTTGGCGAGCAGGGGGAGTTCTGTGCCTGGACAGGAGAAAACAAGAGAGAGGAGACAGAGTAGCAGAGACGGAGAGAATATGCTACATGTGTGCCAGTGCCTGAGGAGGCCACAGGAAGGTGCAGAGCTCCTGAAGCAGCGTTACAGGTGTCTGGGAACCACTGGACATTGGTGCTGGGAACCACACTCAGGTCCTCTGGAAGAGTGCCAAGTACACACTACTCAACCATCCCTCCAGTCCTAGAGCTTTTTTTTTTTTTTTTTTTTTTTGGTTTTTTCAAGACAGGGTTTCTCTGTATTGTTTTGGAGGCTGTCCTGGAACTCGCTCGTAGACCAGGCTGGCCTCGAATTCACAGAGATCCGCTTGCCTCTGCCTCCCGAGTGTTGGGATTAAAGGCGTGCGCCACCAACGCCCGGCCTAGAGCTTTTTTTTATTATTAAAACAAAACAGGACGCCACCCTCCCCCCCAAAAAAGTGTTGAGAGTTCCAGGATGGCCAGGACTAGAGAGAGAAACCATGTAATCCCAGCAGAAGCAGGTATATATGTTTGAGTTCAGGAGGTCAGCCTAGCATACAAAGTGAGTTCCAGGACAGACAGGGCTACACAGAGAAACCCTTGTCTCAAAAAACAAAAAACTAAACAAAAAAAGGTTTTGTTTTTATTTGTGTGTGTATATGCCACAGTGTGCAGGTGCCTGTTGAGGCCAGAAGGTGTCAGATCCCCTGGTAATGGACATATAGGTTGCCTAAAGTAGGTGGGTGCTGGGAACCAAACTCAGATCTTCTAGAAAAGCAACAGCAGAGCCATTTCTCCATCGCCAGCTTTTTTCCCAATAGGTCAGTAACTTGTCTTAGCCAGACCTGGTAGCAAGGACCTGTACTCCTATGATCTAGCATTTGGCGTAGAGAAAGCAAGATCATGGTAAGTTTGAGGGCAGTCTGGACTATATAAAAAAGAACCTCAAAATATCACGCACAGAAAAAAAGAAAACTTCTATTGTAGACAATAAACAACCATTATTTTAAAGACAGAAACGCAGCTAGTTAGTTAATTCACTTCGGCCAAGGACAGTGAAGGGCTACGCTAGAAAGCTAAAACGAATAAACAGCTAGGACTGACTTTTTCCAATAAAGCAGTTGGTTTGCTTTTCTTTGAGGCAGGACCTCAGTCTAGAGTCCCGGCTGGCCTTGAACTCGTGGGAATCCTCCAGCTTCGGGCTCCTGGGTGCTGGTTTACCGGCCACGGGACCTACCGAGTGCAAGGAAGGGCCAAGGGCTGCCACAGCGGTCCAGGATCTTACCTTTGTGCTTCTGGAAGCAAGTGACGGAGCAGCTGTAACAAGAAAGACAGGCCCCGTCAGCTCGAGCGGCCGCAGCGCGAGCCTCCCGCCCGCAGCCCGGCCTCCCTCCTGGCCCGGTGCTCGCGCTCCCCAACCCCCACGGGCCCCCGGCTCACTAGGGCACGCGGCAAGCCGGGCAGCGGTATTTCGGCTTCTCCAAACAGATCACGCAGACCGCGGTTTTACTGTTGAGCGACGCCATGACTTCCCAGAAGACCCCTCGCCGCCACCGCGGGCTGTCCCTTAGGTAAAGCGAGGACCAATCACCGCTGCACACTCCCTGGCAGTCAAAACCAGTGGCTTGATCCTGTTCACTCTTCCAGGCCTCAGAAGTAGAGTGTCGATACAATCGATACCCTCCAGGCAGCTTAGTCCGGGTTTCCTCACATTAGATCAAGTCATGGAACTCAGGAACCTGTGCGTACCACCATGCCCAGTCAAATACACTCTTTTTTTTTTTTTTTTTTTTTTTTTTTTGGTTTTTCGAGACAGGGTTTCTCTGTATTGTTTTGGAGGCTGTCCTGGAACTAGCTCTGTAGACCAGGCTGGCCTCGAACTCACAGAGATCCACCTGCCTCTGCCTCCCAAGTGCTGGGATTAAAGGCGTGTGCCACCAACGCCCGGCCAAATACACTCTTTTTTAATTATTTGTATAACTGTGCTCCTGTGTCGGGTAAAGGCTATTGCCCTGAGAGGCCTGAAAAGGACATCAGATCTGTGGGCGCTGGGAACTGAACACGGATCTTCTCGAGTGGCAACAGGAGCTCCTTACCGCTAAGTCATTTCTCCCGGCACAAAGGACGTTTTTTTGTTTGGTTGGTTGGTTTTTTTTTTTTGTTTTTTGTTTTTGTTTTTTTTTTTAGACTGTCCTGGAACTCACTTTGTAGACCAGGCTGGCCTCGAACTCACAGAGATCCGCCTGCCTCTGCCTCCCGAGTGCTGGGATTAAAGGCGTGCGCCACCACCGCCCGGCTACAAAGGACGTTTCTTGAGGTTGCGCCGCTGACAAATGTTTATTGAACTTGAGTTGTGAATCCTACAATGTTCAGATACTGGGGATGGTTAGAAGACGGTGCCTTCCGTAGAAGCACAAGGCTTGAAGTGAAGACAATGGGGAAAGGGCGAAGGAAGAGACTCGGTTTTAGGGTCCAGCCGTGCATTTGCATGACTCAGATAACTATCGCCCCCTAGGGTCACCTCCACCACAGCTGTGTGGCAAGGCAGACTGACCACAGAGCAGATCAGTGGCCTCCAGGCTAAAGGGATGCAGGCTAATGAGTCAGGATAGATGGGCTTGAAAGGCCATTATAGAGTTAGGTTTAGACAGAGTCATGTTTGTTTGTTTTGTTTTGAGACAGGGTCCTGGCTAGCCTTAAACTTATACATACGCCAGGCTGGTCTTCAATCACAGAGACCTACCAGTCTCTGCCTGCCAAGAGCAGAGATTAAAGGCCTGGGTCACCACACCCTGCTCAGAGTCTTGTTTTTTCAGAAACTTGCTCTTCCGTGAAGCTCTGAACCTAGCCTCTGTTCCCAGGGCCTTAAGTCGTGCTACCCCAACTGCCTTCTCAGCTCTGCTGCCCATCTAGTCTCTAGGGTTCTTGGTTTGTTAGTTTTGCTTTTGTTTTTCAAGACAACCCTGGCTGCCCTGGAACTTACTCTGTAGACCAGGCTGGCTTCGAACTCACAGAGATCTGCCTGCCTCTGCCTCCCACCAGCATCTGAGCTTGCTGAGATGATCTGCTAAATCCTAGGAATCCTGACTCGTGCTCCCTGAGTATGTTTATTACAGGTCTTGGTTGCTGCCTCTAAGGTCTTTCATCAATTAGAGTGGATGCCCAGGACTAAATTCTTGAGCTATTGAAAGACAAAAGGAAGGCATACATAAAGGGTTTTGTAATCTGTAGCTGGAAAAGGGTTGGAAAAATTCTAATCTCCTAGAGTTCTGCTAGTGACTCCATGAGCACAGTCTGCTAAGTCTTGGGTCCAAAACTCAAGACAGTCTACAACAATTCTGTGTCTGTCTCAGTAGGAAGTACAGGAAATGAGCGAGTATCCTTTGGTATCGCCTGACCGCGGGAACGCTGTCCAGGCCCAGCTGAAGGGCCCCTTAGCGGCTTCTTTGCTTCCATCAGCCGCCTATTGCTTAGAATCCAATACAAGATCGGGCGTGGCACACACCTTTAATCCCAGCACTCCAGAGAGAGGCAGAGACAGGCGGATCTCTGTGAGTTAGGGGCCAGCCTGGTCTACAAGGCAAGTTCCAGGACGGCCAGGGCTACACAGAGAAATCCTGTCTCGAAATAAAAATCCAATACGCATCCACACTGACCCACTAACTCGCGATCCTGTTCTTGAACACTTGTACCGGCTCTGGTTTGAACGTGAATCTCCCCAGGAGGTCCAAATTAATGTGGGACAACCAGAGAAGACCAGCAGCTCACCCGTGACCACATTTGGATCCCTGTCCTTTGTGGCGAGGGTAGAAATTGTCACTGACCACTCCAGATTTTACTGTGCATTGTAAGAACTGAGGCTGGGAATCTCTCCTATGCACACTTCCCGTGGTGGAGATGCTGCTCCCTCTATTCTGGATGCCCCTAGCTTCAGGGATCACTGTCAGTCTTTCTTCAGGGTCCAGGAAAGGAAGTGTGGTGGAGACCAGGTTGGGGGTTACCGAGAGTAGGAACCTTATGACTCCAGGCATCATCTAGTCGTCCACGTTTGCGGTCCCAAAGAGAGCACCTAAGCTCTTTATGCACTCCTATCAGATCTGTCTGAGATGCCACCTACTCCTCGGCACGAGCCTGAAGCGCAGTGAGAAACCTTGGAGAGAAGCGAGATAGCAAAGAAGGGTTTCATGGCTCTGGCACCTAACAGGCACTCGCCCGAGCGACGACTACGCGGTGCCGCGGGTCAGCACCAGGCACCGCCAGGGGGCGCTGCAGGTCGCCTTTGTAACTGATGCAGTGAGGACTCTTAGAGACCAGCTCACAACCCCACTTTTATCCAGCAGATTAAACTGGGAGCATAGAAAAATGCTAGACCAGGAGCTACTTCGTGAGGCGATGAAAAGTGCCTTCTGGGGACAAGCAGGACACGGACCAATCTAGGACTCCAAATAGTGAAAGCTGCCCAAGGCCAGTTCTCCGGGCCTCTTAGCTATGAAGCTCATGTACAACTCCAACATCTAGAATATTAGCCTAATGAAAATTTAGCTGTACTTTGGGAACGTTGGAGTTACTAACTATAGTAGTGCTCAAAGAACCCTTTCACAGGGGTCTCGTAAGACCACCAAAAAACACAGATATTTATATTACAATTCATAACAGTAGCAAAATTATAGTTATGGCCGGGCGGTGGTGGCGCACGCCTTTAATCCCAGCACTCGGGAGGCAGAGGCAGGTGGATCTCTGTGAGTTCGAGGCCAGGCTGGACCGACAGCCTCCAAAACAATACAGAGAAACCCTGTCTCGTAAAAACCAAAAAAAAAAAAAAAATTATAGTTATGAAGAAGCAACGAAAACAATTTCATGGCGGGGTGGGGGAATCACCACAACATGAAGAACTGAGTTACAGGGTTGCAGCATTGGGAAGATTGAGGCCCACTACACTAGAGCATGACCTATTGCCACGCACATTTCTTGGTTGTCCTGATAGGATTGGCAGATTATTCTGTTCTTGGGGGTTGAGGGTATAGTTTCATTGGCTAAACATGCGGGAGATCCTGGGTTCAAGCCTCGGCAATGCACAAATCTAATATAGTGAGGCGTGCCTGTAATCCCAAACTGGAGGTGGAGGCAGGAAGGTCAGGAATTCAAGGCTACATGGAAAGTTTGGGATACTGAGAGTCTATCTCAGTATATATTCTCCTCACATGTACCACAAATGCTCTTATCAGAGGCCTGGGGTTAATAAAGCCGTGCTTTGCCACATTCCAGCTCCTCTCTGCAACTTTCTTTTTCATTTATTTATTATGTATACAGTGCTCTGCCTGCATGTATGCCTGCAGGCCAGAAGAGGGCACCAGATCTCCTTACAGATGGTTGTGAGCCACCATGTGGTTGTTGGGAATTGAACTCAGGACCTCTGGAAGAGCTGGCGGTGCTCTTAACCTCTGAGCCATCTCTCCAGCCCTAAAATTTATTAATTTTTATTTTAATGCATTGGTGCTTTGCCATAGAACTGGAATTATAGACAGTTGTGAGCTGCTATGTAGGTACTGGGAATTGAACCCAGGTCCTCAGAAAGAGCAGTCAGTGCTCTTAACCACTGAGCCATCTCTCCTGCAACTTTTTCTTTTTTTGGTTTTTCTAGACAGGGTTTCTCTGTGCCTTTGGAGGCTGTCCTGGGACTCACTCTGTAGACCAGGTTGGCTTCGATCTCACAGAGACCCGCCTGCCTCTGCCTCCCGAGTGCTGGGATTAAAGGCATGTACCACTACCACCCGGCTTCCTCTCTGCAACTTTAACACATCCATTCCATCCCAGCACTGAAAAATGGCTGCCGTTGGTTCTCAGAGACCATTTCCACTCTTCTCGCCTGCATCCATTTCTATTCTGGGACATAAGAGAGGGCAGGGCCCACGAAATGACTCAGCAGGTATAGGTGCCAAGCATGAAGACCTGAGCTCCGACTTCAAGATCCCAACTTGGCAGGAGAGAACTGATTCTGGCCAGTTACCCTCTGACTGCACACATGAAGCTCCCCTCCACACCATAAGCAAATAAACAAATGTTCTATGTTAAGATGAGGAAGGATGCCCCTCAATGCGGGGGCATTTGTTTGCTTGTTTTATTTAAAACAGGGTCTCAAACCTAACCATGGTGATGCAGGCCTTTAACCCCAGCACTCAGGAAGGCAGAGGCAGGTGGATATCTGCGAGTTCGAGTCCAGCCTGGTCTACAAAGTGAGTTCCAGGACAGCCAGGACTGTTACACAGAGGAAACCCTGTCTTGAAAAACAAAAAACAAAAGCAAACAAAACCAAACAGGGTCTCACAGAGTCCTAGTTGACCTCAAATTCAATACAGAGCAAAGGATGATCTTAAGCTTCAGATCTTTTTTTTTTTTTTTTTTTTTTTTTTTCGAGACAGGTTTTCTCTGTATTGTTTTGGAGGCTGTCCTGGAACTAGCTCTGTAGACCAGGCTGGCCTCGAACTCACAGAGATCCGCCAGCCTCTGCCTCCCGAGTGTTGGGATTAAAGGCGTGCGCCACCAACGCCCGGCAAGCTTCAGATCTTAAACCTCCTAAATACTGGGATCATAGGCACATGCT